TCTGATGCTCCGTAAAATCAATAATTTGTGACCCGGGAGATGAGGTTTCGTAGACTTCTCCCTCCCTGCAAGGGAACGGCCCCCATTAACCCTTTGCTTTTAGCCATTCCCTGCTGGGCTTTAGCGCTTCCGGAAATCCTATTACGGCTCCTGACCTTGTTGGTGCGGCTGTAGATGCGGAAAACGAGCAGCAGAGTGGCCAGGTACAGGGCGGCAAAGAAGTACTGTGCCAGGCGGATGTTGGTGCCTCGGCCGGTGGCGTAATACAGGCCCATGAAGATGTAAACAAAGCCAGCAGGGTACCTGCAGTGGGGGAGAGAGAAAGGGGGATTTAAAGAAGAAGCAAAGAGAAACTTCCTTGGTGTCAGGTCTGCCAGCGTAAAAGCTTCAGCCTGCTTTGCTTCACTGGCATCTTTGTGGCAGCCCCCAATATCTCAGGGGCTGCCCCAAAGAAGAGGGAGTCAAGCTATTCTCCAAAGCACCAGAAGGCAGGACAAGAAGCAACGGATGGAAACTAATCAAGGAGAGAAGCAACCTAGAACTAAGGAGAAACTTCCTGACAGTTAGAACAATTAACCAGTGGAACAACCTGCCTCCAGAAGCGGTGAATGCTCCAGCACTGGAAGTTTTTAAGAAGAGACTGGACAGCCATTTGTCCGAAATGGTGTAGGGTTTCCTGCCTGAGCAGGGGGTTGGACTAGATGACCTCCAAGGTCCCTTCCAACTTTATTATTATTATTATTATTATTATTATTATTATTATTACTACTACTACTACTACTACTACTACTATTACTACTATTACTATTATTATTATTATTATTATTATTATTAATTGCGGGAAGGGGAAGAAGGGGAATGTAGGGGGAGAGGGATGACACGATGACAGAAACCAGAGATGCCAATCCGGAACAGACCAGCATATCCAAGGACATGAAGGGTGAGAACACAATGTGAAAGTACACCAAAGAGATGCCAAACCTTAAAGCAGTTACCCCAACACCAAATCTGAATACTATTGGCCACTCACGAATTGGTCAAGAAGGGAGGGGGCAGGAATTGGGGAAAAGGCAGGTTTTGAGTGGGAAGACTCAGATCTGGCTTTACTTATGCTGAAACCACTTGACTTTAGTAAAAGTAGGTCTGTTGGTATGAATGGAGTCGAGGGTCTTTCTTTGCTAAATGCTCAAGCTGGGACAAGCCTGACACTTGCTGTGCCCATGCTCATTTTTCCCAGGACACGATTCCCTCCCTCCCTCTGTCCCTGATTCCCAATGCCTGCACGGCACTGCACCTGGATGTTTGAGGGACTATCTGGGGACAAAAGCTATGGCAAATCTAGACAGCATACTAAAAAGCAGAGGCATCACCCTGACAACAAAAGTGTGTATAGTCAAGGCCATAGTTTTCCCAGTTGCAATGTATGGCTGTGAAAGTTGGACCATAAGAAAGGCTGAGCGCCAAAGAATTGAGGCCTTTGAACTCTGGTGCTGGAGAAGACTCCTGCGAGTCCCCTGGACTGCAAGGCAATCAAACTGGTCAGTCCTAGAGGAGATCAACCCCAACTGCTCTTTAGAAGGCCAGATCCTGAAGTTGAAAGTCAAGTACTTTGGCCACCTAATGAGAAGGAAGGACTCCCTGGAGAAGAGCCTCATGCTGGGAAAGATGGAGGGCAATAGAAGGGGACGACAGAGAATGAGGTGGCTGGATGGAGTCACTGAAGCAGTAGGCGTGAGCTTCAATGGACTCCAGAAGATGGTAGAGGACAGGAAGGCCTGGAGGAACGTTGTCCATGGGGTTGCGATGGGTCGGACACAACTTCGCAACTAACAACAAATCTGTCTCCCATAGAATCAGCCCACCAATTTGATCCTGTGGGGTTGATGTGCTTGGGGTTCCTTCGATTAAACAACGTCATATCTCAAGACCCCCAAGACGCATTTTCTCTGCAGCAGCACCTGCTCTCCGGAATGAAGTTCCCCCAATGTCTAGGTGGCCCCCACTGTGCTGTTGTTTAGAAGAATTATTAAGACCTGAATTGTTGAGAAGACTTACGAGCCCAAAATGTCCACTAAGCAAGACGGTTGTTTAAATGAGTTTCCCCCCCATTACCACAGTTGTTAAATAAATCTCTGCAGTTAAGTTAGTAACACGGTTGTTAAATGAATCTGGCTTCCCTGCTGACTTGGCTCGTCAGAAGGGCGCAAAAGGGTGATCACGTGACCCCGGGACACGGCGACCGTCATAAATACAAGTCAGTTCAGCCAAGTGTCTGAATTTTGATCACGTGACCAGGGGGATGCTGCAACAGTCGAAAGTGTGAAAAATGGCCATGTCGCTATTTTCAGTGCCGTTGTAACTTTGAACAGTCACTAAATGAATGTAAGTCGAGGACTACCAGTAATGTTAATTTGATTGTTGTGAGCTACCCAGAATCATCGGGAGATGTTGGGTACCATACAAGTTTGATATATTATGTTGATGACGATGATGATGGACCCACAAGAGCCTCAGTAAGGTTGGACATTTATAGGTACTCACACAAGGGGGCCTGTGTCCCCCTTTAGTTGGGTGTAGTCCAGGGTCCCATTCACAACCCCCTCCACTTCATCCATGTAGGCTTTCCAGTCGATCTCAGTATCTGTGGGGAAAATGCACAGATGGTCATCAGTTCAGCTGCCAGAGGATCTGGGGTCTCCAGGAACTCTAAGAAAGATGGGCAGTCAAGAAATAGGAAATAGAAATAAATAAAATAGTCTTAAAGACCTGTTCTCTTGATTCCAGCATCGCAAAGGCAAACTCAGGTAATCGAAATGCGCCCGGTGACACCCAGTTTTCTGTGACACTACATGATCATGCCTCCACATTATCTGGGCTAGTTTTCAGTAGCCAAGGAGACAGGTAATAGATAACTTTCTAGTGTTTTGTATTTTTCTCTTTAGTCTTTTAGCAAAAGTCATTGTTGCTGGTATTGTTCACTAAGCTAACAGCCCCTAAATAAATTGACAAGACAAACCACAATTTCGTTGTTGCGATGTGACAGGTACTCGTGTTCAATGTACGATGCAGTTCCCTAAAGGTGTACAATACAAAATACTTCAACCTAGGCATATCCAGTGTTTCTCAACCTTGGCAACTTTAATATGTATGGACTTCAACTCCCAGAATCCCCCAGCCGGGTAAGAGATTCTGGAAACTGAAGTCCATACATTTTAAAGTTTGAGAAACACTGGTTTAGACTATGGGCTGGCCCAAAATACACCTGCACGGCTCTAATTCTATTCTTGGCGCCCCCCTCACTCTGACGACGTCCCTCTACTCATCAAGATTCTAGTCCCCAAGGTTTATCAATGCACCCGAGTACACCTCCCCAGACCCCACCTGCACTCGGCCATCCCTCCCTTCCTCCCCCACCAATGGGGCGTCCTCCCAATGGATCTGGCCAAGTCCCCCGTTACCCAAGCCTGCACTGATTATGGGAGCTGGAATCCAACCCTTTTGGGATGCCCAAGGAGGGGCAGCTCCCTCCCCCGCCCCCCCCCCCGGCGACTCACATGCCACCCTCTGGATGACCCAGAGGTTGACCCCCACTTCGGCCAAGCAGAGGCAGGCGGCCACCAGCGGGGTGAAGCGCGGCTCGAAGAGCACCAGGTGCTTCTCCTGCCAGGCCCGGCGCAGGGCCCGGCGCAGGACCGGGTATCCCGGCCCCGCCGCCCCCTTCCTCCGCGGCCCAGGCGCCGGCGCCATAGCCCTGCTGCGGCCCGCTGGTGCCACCGCCAAAGCGCTCCCCCGCCTGGCCTCGCCCGGCGTCGACAGTTCCGGGCGCGGAAGTGCCCCCCAACACAAGGCTCGTCCCGTCCTCGGCGGCAGTTGGGCAGGGACGGCTGCCCGGGGTGCCGCAGCTCCGGGATTTCCCGGTGGTCTCCCGTCCAGCTGGAGAGCAAACGAAGCCAGCTCAGCACTACCCTCCAAGCCGAGTGTTTCTAAAGTCTGCTACTGGACGGGTGGTTTCCTTTGCAAGAATGCGCAAGGCGTTTTTTTTTTCCCTTGCCTTCACCCAAGATGCCAAGAACCATAGGCTCTCCTGGTGGTGTCCTTTCCATGCCCGCTTATTGGCTTGCCACGGCTCTGTCATGGCTACCAAGAGCTGAATCCACGGTAAAGGTGTTAAGAATGTGCTTGATTTTTATCTGCAGCCTTAGAAGTGGCCAAACTTTACTCCAATAAAATAAAACAATGAAAATTGAAGGGAAATAAATCTTTACAGCAGAACGTACTGCATTATTATCATACACGGGGGGGGGGAGAGGAAGAGAGACGGGGGGAGAGAAACGAGGGAGGGGGAGAGGGCGGGGGGGAAGAGGGAGGGAGCACTGTATGGGAGCATACCTCATTATATTATTTATTAACGTTGCCAGACATTTAACCCACAAAGGAAACACGTTTTTATTAGGTTTTCATAGGTTTTTTTAAAAAAACTATTCATCCACAATGTACTAAGCTCAATTGGCATTAAAATCTCCTAGTCTATTATAGCATCAGCAGCCTGGGCAAATACCCTGCAGGCTCCCCAACTGAGGGGGTCCTTGGTGCTCTCTGAACTTGGCTTCTTTTCTTGCAGTCGTTTCATTCCTCAACCAGGTAACACGATCAAGGCTAGCTGGGTAATGAAACGTCTGCAAGAAAACAGGCGAGTTCAGAGAGCACCGAGGACCGAGCCTTCATTTCATCCCGGAGCTACAAATATTCCCCTGTATCGGACGTCCAACTCTCGGGAGCCTCAACCTCGAAGGAGGAAACGCTGCAGCCCAGAAAGCGGACACCCGCTCGTAGAGACCCCAACCCTCCGGGGTCGCGTTTCCAGGGGGAGCGCTTTGACTCGCCCTCCCGCTCGGCAGCCGGAAGCTCCACGTGGTTTTGGGCAGGCCACGTGGACGAGCAAGGGCTCCAGGACTGTCAGGCGGCGGCGGCGGCGGAGCAGCGCAGCCCCCGGCTTCCCTATGGAGGAAGCCCCGCGGAGGCAGCGCCCGCTTTCCAACGCCAGGTACCGGGAGCGGGGCTTCTGGGAGGCGCGCTACGAGCAGGAGGGAGCCGAGCCCACCGAGTGGTTCGGGGGCTTGGAGTGCTTCCGCGAACAGCTGGAGGCGGAACTGAAGCCGGGGGACCGGATCCTGGTGCTGGGTAAGCGATCGCCTCACCCCTCGCTGGGACGGTGTAAGAAGTGGAGGCTCAAGGGGCGCACGTGGATCGCCAGCGGGTGCGCTTCCTGTTCCTCTCAGAGCCGGGGAATTCTGGGAGTTGAAGTCCACACCTCTTAGAAGTTGCCCGCTTGAGAAATGCTGATCAAGGACTTGGGAGAGTCAGAAAAGTGGATAGGAAACGTTCGTTAAGCTTCCTCTTCCTTCAGAACATTAAAATGGGCTGGAGAATTTGAATCCATGCACCTTAAAGTATCCAAGTTTGAGAAATACTGATCCAGACAATGTTTCTGGGGAATTGTGGGAGTTGAAGTCCATACACCTTAAAGTTGTCAAGTTCCAGAAATATTGATCTAGACTCTAGATCAGGGGTAGGCAACCTTGGCTCTTTTGTGACTTGTGGACTTCAACTCCCAGAATTCCTGAGCCAGCCATGGCTCAGCTTGGAAACCTCTCCCTTTCCCCTCAGCATGGCTGGCTCAGGAATTCTGGGAGTTGAAGTCCACCAGTCATAAAAGAGCCAAGGTGGCCTGCCCCTGCTCTAGATTCTAGAGTCCAGAAATCAGTGGAATGACTTGTCTTCAGAGGTTCTGGGTGCTCCAACACAAGAGTAAGAGAATAACAGAGTTTGAAGGGACCTTCTAGGGTCTTCTAGTCCAGCCCCCTGCTCAAGTAGAAAACCCTATACCATTTCAAACAAATGGCTATCCAATCTCTTCTTAAAGACTTCCAGTGTTGGAGCATTCACACCATCTGAAGGCACGCCATTTTACTGATTAATTTTTCTGACTGTCAGGAATTTTCTCCTTAGTTCTAGGTTGCTTCTCTCCCGGAGTAGTTTCCATCCATTGCTTCTTTTCCTGCCTTTAGGTGCTTTGGAGAATAGCTTGACTCCCTTTTCTTTGGGGCAGCCCCTCCAATATTAAAACACTGCTATCATGTTCCCCTTAGTCCTTCTTTTCATTAAACTAGATATGCCCAATTCCTGCAACCGTTCTTCAAATGTTTATCCTTCAGTCCCCTGATCATCTTTGTTGCTCTGCTCTGCACTCTTTCTAGAGCAGGGCTTTTCAACCTTTTCACCCATTGTACCACTTTTAGGATATGGCAACATCTGAGTACCACCAGTCGCCTAGCAAGGTGTCAAAAACTTGACCCCCCAAAAAAAAGTAAAAAAGTGATAAAGTACAGGTAGTCCTCGATTTACAACAGTTCGCTTAGGGACTGTTATTCACTTCACTTCCGTTGTTAAGTGAGTCATCCAGTTGTTAAGTAAATCCGGCTTCCCATTGATCATAACTGGCTGGGGAAGGCCACAAACGGTGATCACATGACCCTGGGATGCCAAGAGATTCTTGGAGAACATCGTAAAAATGGTGGATTTGAACCCTGGTCTTAAACTTAGTTAAGGATTTAAGAGAACACAGCAAGTCAGGAAAACCTGCCCTGATGTGGCTTCATTTTGGCTGAGCACAAACGCATCCATTATCTTTTAGCATGGTATGTAAACCAGGCTACTACAGCTTGTTCCAAAAATCAGTTCTGATTTGTTTTTCAACCCTGATTTAGTGCAATGTGTGAATCAAGTCACAGAATGATGGATGGGATCGATCAAACTCGCATTTTTATTGCTGTTCCTCTGAGGGGAATACCTCACAAGGTGGGTGTGAAGCCCATCAGAGGCTCAAATGACCAAGGAATTTTTTTTAGTTTTTTTTAATGAATTGAAATATTGTTTGGAACTGGGTGCCTTTTGAAAGAACTGGGCCACAAAAGACACATACCTTACAGGAAGTCCTTGACTTACAACCGGTCGCATAACAACCATTTAAAATTACAATGGCTTAACCCCCCCCCCAAAAAAAAGTATTTACAATCCAATTCCCAAATTTCAACAGCTAGGAGAGTCTCCCCATGGTCACATGACCGCATTTTGGGTGCTTAGCAATTGGACTACGTTTATGGCTGTTTGCAGCCTTCTATGATCACCTGACAGCGATATACGATGTTTTTGCCAAAAACCATTTACTTCCAATTTTTGGCAAAATCGCTCGCTCCATAGTGAACAATGGGCTCACTTAACAATCACTGCAAAAAAAAAAAGGCATAACTTTGGGATGGCCACGTGATGACCACTTTACGACTCTCATGATTCATGAGTGTAATTGGGAAGTGCCATTACAGACATAAGCCGAGGACTACTCATCTCTTTATAACCATGCAATATGATCAGTGCTTACCTCTGTGTAGCAATCCTGCAATTTCCAGGTGAAGTCTGAGATAAATAGCTTGAATAAATTTGGCAATTGCCGCATTCCTTAAACGAGCAGTATGTAATCTGATTGTTTCATGATATAGCAACGGTTCCAAATTCTGCACAATTCAGAAACCAAAAATAAGCAAGGAAAGAAATGTCCTTGTTGACTTGTTCACTTATATAGCAACGTTCATGCTAAGCCATAATGTGACTTGTTTTAATGCAAAACCATCCATTGTGGTTCATCAACAGTGGTTTATGACCACGATCATGTACAAATTCTATTGAATTGTGGTTTATTCAATAAACTGTAGATAAGCAAATAGATTAGCTTGCTAAATCTCTCTTTTTAGCTACAGCTTTCAGTCTGGTAAAATTTCTGGTAAAACAAAGAATATCCACTTGCTCCTTATGACCACTAGGGGGCACTATGGGATTCTACATAAGGGACGCACTAATTTATGGATCCCCAACATGGTGCCCAGGAGCAACCAGATTCTGCCCCACTTCATTTTATTTTGTGAGTCTGTAATTTTATTTTATTTTTTAAAGGCTAAATAGGCTGGAAAGCATGTCGGAGCCTCAGGCATTAACTATTTCTAACAATGCCTCTGTCCTACGTAGATCCTAGAACCATTCTTGGAAAATAATGGAGGCCAGGAGCTGGCACTTACTTACTTATATCTGCCTTTATTAGTTTTATAAATAACTCACTCAAGGCAGAGAACAAATCTAATACTCCTTCCTTCTCCTATTTTCCCCACAACAACCCTGTGAGGCGGGTTGATCCGAGAGTGAGTGACTTGCCCAAAGTCACCCAATCAGCTTTCATGCCTAAGGCGGGACTACAATTCAGTTTCCGGGTGATTGACCCACTCAGCCGGCTTTCATGCCTAAGGCAGGGCTAGAACTCACCATCTCCTGCTTGATTGGCCCAAAGTCACCCAGTTGGTTTTCATGCCTAAGGTGGGATTGGAACTCACAACCTCCTGGTGATTGACCCAAATTCAGCAAGCTGGCTTTCATGCCTATGGCGGAACTAGAACTCACAATCTCCTGGTGATTGGCCCAAAGTTCCCCAGCTGGCTTTCATGCCTAAGGCAGGAGTAGAACTCACCGTCTCCTAGTTCCTCGCTTGGAGCCTTAACCATCAGCAAACTAGTTCTAGATTCACACTTGGCTTGGAAGCGTGCCCACCTTCCCAGAAAAAAGGACCATGTTAGGAGCATCTAAGGAGTGTAAAGGGCTGGACAGCAGCCTTGTTTAGCTTTTGCGGTATAGGTGTGTTGCGATTGTCCAAACCCATAGTTTCCATTTTGTGAAAGCGTCCGTAACATTCTCTCAAAACCTCAGCTGTGCTGGGTCAGTGGTTTTTTCAACCATGGCAACTTGAAAAAGTGTGGTCTTCAAGTCACAGAACACACAGAATTCTCAAGTGTCGACTTCAACTCCCAGAATTCTCTAGTCAGTTGGCTAGGGAATCCTGGGAGTTGAAGTTCATACCTTTTTAAGGTGGTCAGGTTTGGCCTAGATCAGGGGTAGGCAACCTTGGCTCTTTTATGACTGGTGGACTTCAACTCCCAGAATTCCTGAGCCAGCCATGCTGAGGGGAAAGGGAGAGGTTTCCAAGCTGAGCTGTGCTGGCTCAGGAATTCTGGGAGTTGAAGTCCACGAATCATAAAAGAGCCAAGGTTGCCTACCCCTAAGATAGGTGGACTTCAACTCCCAGAATGCCCTGGCCAGCATGGCTGGCTAGGCAGGGGTAGAGAAATCTTGGCTGTTTTATGACTGGTGGACTTCAACTCCCAGAATTCCTGAGCCAGCCATGCTGAGGGGAATGGGAGAGGTTTCCAAGCTGAGCCATGCTGGCTCAGGAATTCTGGGAGTTGAAGTCCACAAGTCATAAAAGAGCCAAGGTTGCCTATCCCTGGCCTAGATCCTCTGTCTAGCTTTCTTAACAGTATGTGNTGCGGACTCAGGGCGGCTAACAACCAAATAAAATGCTACAACCAAAAAACTACAAATTAAAAACATAATTAAAAACAAATATTAATAATTGGTCTAGTAGTTAAAAATTACTTTAAAACCCCCATTAAAAATTTTTTCCCCTAGGCCAGTCCTGCAAGTTAGTTAATCTGTTCTCATCATAGGTACAATAAGAATAACCTTACAAATATGGAAAAATTAGTTTGTCTAGCTTCTGAACTTACTTTAATGAATGGATATAAGGGAGAAACCACCTTTGCATTTCTGCCTTAGTTTCTATATTCCTGTAACAACATGAGGACTAGAAACTTGCTTTCCATTTCCAGTACCTTTAAACTTTCTAAAACCATGGAATATCACACCAAGGCTTTGGCTTGGGTGTAAAGCAAAGATAGAAAAAAAAACAAGCTCTCATATCACTCACCAAGTATTTGGGACCCAAAAAAACATGATTTTTTTTTTTTTTGTTCTTTGGAGAGAGAAATTGAAAAATCAAAATGCACATGTGGATTCACCTCCTTGTGGTTGCTAAAACTGAGAAAATGATGCTTAAAAAGCAGGAAAAAATCACAAACCACACACACACCGCCTTCCTGGTGTGGTGTTTTTGCTTTGCTTGTTGTTCGCTGTACACGTGATTTGAGCTCATGTGTCAGGATTATTTTAAAATCTGGCTCAGATTTCTTCACCCACAGCTTTTCCAACATGTATCGTGGAGTAAGAATAATTTGTTCGCCAAG